TTTACAGCTAAAAATGTTATTTTTGGCATACGTTTGTGTGTGTGTGTGTTGGGGGGGGGGGGGGGCGTCAGCAGCTGGGAACTAGTACACGACAGGCACGTGCTTGAGTTAAAACTTTTTTATTTATTGTCTGCAGCTTTGCAGCAGACAGTGAATAATGTATTCTCCGATACAGAATTAAATTAACAACAAAACTATATCCAGGGACTGTCTCTGTGTGCACATGTACTCAGTTGGTTCCCATCAAGTCAAACACTTACATCAACAAATAGCACACAAATTTGATAACAAAGAAATAAAAGAGTTTTCTGCTCATTAATGAGGCAAACCACTGACAAACTCATTCTTCTACTTCTACCTTCATATACTAGGACTCTTTTTCAACGCATAACACTTATATAGGAGGTTAGAAACAGACAAATAATACACTTCAAGCTCCAATACCTCAGTAAAAGTAAAATGCTTAGCATTTATTGAACTAATGCATATCACTCGCCATCTTCCATGTGAGAGTTTTTTATACAGAGATCATCAAAACCATCAAAATGATGTTATGCAAGATCTTATGTGATATTGTGAGATCTCACAAGATGCGTTATCACTCAGAGTGCATGTTGAGAATGACTTCCAGCTGCTGCTACACCAAATTTAGCACATCAGTCAAATTAATCGAGGTATGGGCATTTTTTTTTTGCTGGCTGTCAGTTACCTGTGGTGGCCATCTTAAAATACCAAAAGTAGACAATAATGTGAACCATTCAGTTATAGGTTGTGACAACAGTATTTTTCTTAATGGAACTGACAAAGAAGAAATAATGATTGTGATAAAAAATCTTACAGATAAGAGATCAAAAGACTGGGTGGACAGGGATATGATGTTTGTAAAGGACATAATGAGTTATGTCATCGAGCCGTTTACATATATTTGTAATTTATCATTTTCAAAAGGAATATTTCCAGACAATATGAAAGTAGCTAAGGTAGTTCCTCTCTTTAAAAATGGTGATAAATGTGTGTTCAATAATTATAGACCAATATCCTTATTACCACAGTTCTCAAAAATTCTAGAAAAACTATTTGTGACCAGATTAGATAAATTTATTACTAAACAAAACATTCTAAGTAGCAGTCAGTATGGGTTTAGAGCAACAAACTACATCAATGGCTCTCATGGAAATAATAGAACAAATAACTACTGCTGTCGATCAAAAACAGTATTGTGTTAGTATTTTTGTTGATTTAAAAAAAGCATTTGATACTATTGACCACACTATTCTCCTTGAAAAATTGAATAAATATGGTATAAGAGGACCAGCATTACACTGGGTATCTAGCTATTTAAAAGATAGGAAACAGTTTGTACAAATAAATGGTGTAAGATCTGACCTGTGCAATATCACTTGTGGAGTTCCTCAAGGCTCTGTACTTGGACCAAAGTTATTTATTTTATATGTGAAGGACTTAGTGAATGTATCAGGACTCCTCAAATGTGTCCTTTTTGCAGATGACACCACATTTTTTTGTTTGGGTAAAGATGTAAAACGGATGTTGGAATTGATGAAGACAGAATTTGATAAAATACAAGCTTGGTTTAAAATTAATAAATTATCATTAAATTTAGATAAAACTAAATACATGATATTTAGCAACAAAAAGAGAACTGTTGACGATCCATTTAAAATTGAGGGTGTTGAGATTTGTAGAGTTAATGAGATTAAATTTTTGGGTGTAATCATTGATGAACAGCTAACATGGAAAAATCACATAAATTCTGTAGAAACAAAAATAGCCAAATCTATTGCAGTACTATACAAAGTGAGGGAATTATTAAATGAAAAAGCTCTGTACATGTTGTATAACACAATCATTGTTCCACATTTAATCTATTGCATTGATGGTTGGGGGAAAGCGTGTAAAACATTTACAAAACCTATTTTTATTTTACAGAAAAGAGCTGTAAGAATTATCACCAGAAAGCATTACAGTCACCCATCAAGCACATTATTTTATCAACTGAAGTTATTGAAGTTCCATGATTTGGTAGATTACAGTAGTTTATCAGTTATGTATAGGGCTCAAAATAACACATTACCATTCAATATCCAAAGAAATTTTGTTAAAAGACAAAGTTGTTATAATCTTAAGGGGATAGAGATATTTGTCAAACCAAAATTCAGAACTAGTCTGAAGGGAAGGTCTACCTCAATCCAAAGAATTGGATTGTGGAATGGTCTAGAGAGTGATGTGAAAAATGCCAAGTCAATGTGTACATTTAAGAAAAAGATCAAAGCTGGGTTGTTAAAAAAGTATATATGAAGTAGCTTAGTGTGTGTTTTGTATTAGAATTAGAAAAATTAGAAAGAGTTATTCATTTTGTTCTGTTACTTGAAAATTTATTATGATTGAAATAATTGTATGAAAAAAGGGGCAGATATAATAAGATTTTTTCTTCTTTTTGCTGCCTTTCATTTTAAATCTTTTGTATTTTTCTTTATATTGTTATGGAATTGTTTTGTACCTTTTTAAAATGAATAAACTTTATACCATACCATACCATACCATACCATCTTGAACTGAGGTGACTCTGAAACTTAAACAGTTGCAAATGTATCCAGCGTTGTTCAGTCAGGTCATCTGGATAGTTTCTTTTTTTGTTGAGATGTTTCCTCCTTCATCCAAAGGACTTCATCAGTCCAAGGAGCCACAGCAAACTGAGTCCTACAAGCAGCACACTCACAAGAGGCCAGTTTCTATTAGTACCATTAGTACCAGTACAGCACGGTTCGACTTGGCTCGGCATGATATGAGTTGTGTTTCCATTATACTTTCAGTAACGGTTCTAATGGACGGGTTCAAGCCTGCAGAAGTGCAAGAGGCCAGGGCGTGCTCCTACGAGTCGGCAGCTTGTATGATCCTCTGCGGTGACCATCGGAGCTCAGAGCCCACAGTCTAATGAAAGGCTGGGGCGTTCCCGAGCCCTGGCTTCACGTGCTCCTGCAAGTCGGCAGCACAGAGGATCTTTTGCGGTGACCGGCAGAGCTCGGAGCCGGGGAGATGACGCCCTGCCTGGCCTGAGGGGGCTCCGAGACTCCAGTGGAGAGGACCAGGAGGACCAGAGAGAGACACCTCCAGGAGAGGACTAGTGGAGCTCCATCTAGCTCTCTCTGAATTTTGTCATCAACCACCAAGCACTACAAACGCCTGCACTTCAGCATTAGACCATGGTGTTGTCATTATTATTTTTAAAATCTTAAAAATAGGTCCAGTCGCTCCTCCGAGTTCGAGTTATTGCAAATGGCAGATTGGGTTGTTGTGAAAGTTTCTCAAACAACCAGTGACTCCACCCCTGACCAATCAGTGACCAAAAGTGTTCTGACGTCATGTTTTAGGGCCAGTTCGGCACGGTTGGAACCCCAGAGAAAGACTGAAAAAGGGACCGGTTCCAGGAACTGTTGCTAGTGGAAAGGCCTTGGAACCGTGCCGAGGCGAGTCAAACCGTGCTGTACCATTACTAATGGAAAAAGGCCAATAGTAGACCAACCAGTTTGCTGGTGATGAGAAGTTGTAAATGTACTTTTAATGATTACATTCTGAGAATTTCATTAACATCCATTTATCGGTCTATGTGATATTTTGCTAACGGACATACAAACAGTTGCACACACAGACACAGGCGAAAATATTATCACTGCTTTGCCTTTGGCAGCAGGTAAGGATTATAAATATGGTAAAATAGACCAACACATTATTTTCTGCTTTAAAATCACAAGGTCAAACTTTAAAAATATGGAATCATGTGGAAATTTGCTCATCTGCATTCCTCATGTCCACATGATAATAAAAATAGGCAAACTAAATTTAGGCATGCTGTGTATATAGGTTATTGAAGGTCCCTGTGTGTTGCCCTCTATTTTTCGCCAAAGTGGGAAATTTTTAGGGAGGTGCAAATGAAGTGCCTTGCAGCCGCATGTGGCCTGTGAGCCGTGCAGTGAGTAACCGGGCCCCCACAAGCTGTGCCAACGTCTTGTGTGCCAAATGTGCGGCGAGAGGGTGGCGTGAGTAGTGTGCCAGCGCTAGTCTGCCTGGCTGCCAGGCACTTCTCTTTATCCAATCAGACAGTTCGGCTTGAGTGAAACCCATATTATTGTCTGTTCCCATCTCCTCCCGAAGCGTTGTAACCCTGCGATGAAAAACACAGATGTATGCGAGCGTTTTCTTGCTTCCTTCTCGGTGCACAGATTCACCCAGAGACCATAGCTAGAGAGTGAATAGCACAGTGTATTCCCTCTTTTACCCGTTGCTGTCTGCTTCTATTCTTCGTTGTTGTTTTTTCCTCTTCAAGACAAAATCAAAAGCTAAATGAGCTTGCCTCAGTCTGTTTTTTAAGCATTTCATCAGAGTTATAGAAAGATGAGTTTGTCAGGGATGTCTGAAGAAAAAAGAAAAAACGCTGTCTGTCTGTGTGTGGCTATATTGGACATGATGAAGGATGATATTATTGTGGATGCTTCTTCTGCTGCGGCTGAGAGATGAGGAAGAAACCCATTTGTCTCCTGCTTGCTTAGTGTAATGTGTCTATCTGTCACTCTCCACCGAGACCGGACGGTGGCGTTCATCAGAATAAGCATAATGTCAACACAATGTCTCTCATTTTTGTTTTTACTGCCGGTCGTTATTGTTAATTTTCTCCCCCATCGCCACTCTTCACTCCTCGCCACGTCTAATCCAGGACAATGAGTAACACCACAGAGATTGCATAATTCCCCCTGCATTATCTAGAATTACAAATGAGAAGGGAAACGGTAACCCAACAATAATCCTGTGATCACAGGATGATTACGTGGGAGGGAGGTGCTCAGGAAGAAATAAGTGTGAAGCGGCGAGAATATATATTCTACGAGTAATTACTGGGAGTAGATGGGATTCAATGAGGAGGAGGTGATGTGCGGTACTTGCTGAAAAGATTAAGCTAATGTCAGCGCTGCTCTTGTGTCTTCCAGGTTGACGACGCCATGCTTATGTTTGATAAGACGACTAACAGACATAGAGGTAAGTGCACAGCTTCTGCTCTCCTTCAGCCCTCCCACACGCCTCCAGACTTCTTTCCTCTGTTTTTCAGAAAAGTGAGAAAACAGTCATTTTATGTCCTTTCCCCATGAGATAACACAGAACAGTTCCATTTCACATGATATTAGGTGTACCATCTGTTCAACAATGGGAGCGTGTCAAAGTAATCAATAAGCTGGTACGGTGTTTAGAATGTCTGAGCGTCAGACGCCGGGCGTCTATATGTGTGTGTGCGTACGACTGCGATGATGCCGGTGTGAGTGTTTCAGAGAGGTGCTTAAAGGGTGTAAAGATTGCGAGATGGTTGGTGCTGTGCAGTCAGATAACAGCATCAGATAAGACCCAGGAGAAGCACTGACTTTATCACTCTATCTCATCAGCTCCTTATCTGAGATGAGGGGACATTTCTCTCTCAAGCAGAGGACTTTCCAAAGACAGGTTTCCTCCCTGCGCCACAATGCGGTGTCGGTGCGTTTCAAGTTCCGCAGCACAATTTTCTCAGGCCCGATTTAAAAAAACAAAACGCCAGCACCGGCCCACTGCTGTTCTTTGATTGTTTGTTATACTGTAGGTGAAGTAACTTTTTTAGGCCGCCGGATTGTCACAGGCTGTTTACGTGGGTGTGTAGCAGCAGTCGGCAGGCACTGACAGGTATTCAACGAGAAAAAGGGGCAGACACTTCTCTGCTTGTCACACCAGTCAGCTCACTTGTAGGCAGAGCTGCCATCACACCGTCTCTTTGTGCCGGGACTGAGCGCTCCTCTGCCATAAAGGTGTAAATATTTGTTTGCAGTGAGCGCCTATTCTTCTCCAACCATATCAATTTTTCAGTGCAGTTGGGGTTAGATCGTAAGCAGTATTGCTTTCTGTAGAACCTCAGTTTTTGTCCTGTTTCTGCTGTATCTGTATGTGCAGTAGTTGCTGTATGTGTGTGCTCTGTATGTGTGTGTGCTGTGCGGATAAACTCGTTGAGTCTGGTAAACAGTTCCTAAGTGTGAAACATGTGAACTTTAGTGGAAGTGATCTATGGCTTTGAGGGGATTTTGATCTGTAGTGACAGAACCCAGTGTGAGGTCTGCTGTGAGATGGAGGCTTTTCTCACAGTCTCTCTTATTTTGCACTCTTCTCCCTCCTGTCTGCTGCACTGCCATCCCCTCTCTGAGAGGCTTTGGGCACCAGAGTGTGTGTGAGGCGTTTGCCTTTGGGCAGCCAAATGCCCTTCAAATCAAGACAGTGATGGAGAAACAGCTTCCTTGGCATTTTTTTTTTCCTGATGACAGCGAGCATATTTATATTGAGCGTGACATGGTAGCAGGTGCAGTTCCTCCCGCAGTTTCCGTTTCGTCCACTCAGAAATTCTGAGATTTCGTTCCAGTGGGCGCGTGGATCAGGATGTGTTTGCTACTTACATCTTAAAAGCACAACAGGTCCTCTGAATGAATTACATATAATATTAAAGACCAATGAGAACGTCTTAATAATTCATCAGAGCTGTTGGTGCAGATGTGTAATATTAATGGCTTAGTTGCCCTGTGACCAGGAACGGAAGCACATTGAATATAATATCACTGAAAGTGGTGCCTGGGCCCACGTGCACCCAGAGCCAGTGATGGGCATCTGGCAGCTTGCAGCCCAAATCAATTTCCCACCTGTTTCCATTTTATCTTACAGATTGAGTCATGAAAAAATAATTCTGTTTTTCTGCTGCGCTGCAGTTGCTAAAAATAACACATTATTTATTCAGCAATTCAATTGTAAAACTAAACAGGCCTCCTTAGATTGAGGATGGCTTTTTTTTCTTTCTTTCTTTTTTCATAATTGCAAGTCCTTGAAATATCAATTCACTTGAAGCAAACTGTGCTTTTGAAACAGCACAGTGAAGAGCAAGTACATTTTGTTGTCTTGTACACCTGGAATGTTGCTCTACCTGCAACTCTGCACTTTATACAATATGACGTACTGCTTGCGTTCAGAGCTTCGTTTGCAAATATGACAAAAAAAAAAAAAATCTAAAAAAAATAAATGGGGATGAGATAGTATGTGTTTACTCAGATAGAACAACAAAAAACAAATGTCCCTGCATCTAATATGTCAATTCAATTCAGTTTATTTATGTAGCACCAAGTCACAACAGAAGTCATCTCAGGGCACTGAACAGAAACATTCATAAAAATAATTTAACACTATTTTTCTGAGGAGCAGACTGCTTTGAGTTTAACTTCAACACAGAACTCTCATCTTGAGCATGAAGACGACAGTGGAAAGGAAACACTCCCTCATGAGGAAGAAACCTTTAGCAGAACCAGGCTCAGGACAAGTGGCCATCTGCTTCGACCAGCTGGGTTTGAGAGGAACAGGAAGGAGGAACAGATACACAATGGCAGGTCAAGAATCACATGTTAAGATAGAAATAGTATAAAATGAAAACTATTCAATTTTATAAAATCATTTAAGGAAATTAGGTCAATTTGTCCTCCAGTAGTTTAAACCTTTAGCAGCTTAACAAGCCAACCCTAACTCTAGGATTTATCAAAAAGGAAAGTCAAGTCCAGTCTTAAAACTGGACAAAGTGTCAGCCTCATGGACAGAAACTGGAAGATGGTTCCACAAGAGAGGAGCCTGATAACTGAAAGATCTTCCTCCCATTCTGCTTCTGGAAACTCTAGGAGCCGCAAGTAAACCTGCAGTCTGAGAGCGAAGTGCTCTGTTAGGAAAATATGGAACAATAAGATCTCTAATATAAGATGGAGCTAGGCTGTTGAGGGCTTTGTAGTATGACCATTTACTTTGAAATTTGTGGAGTTGTGTTTTTGTTACAAAGGCGACTTCTTGCTGCTGTGGACACCATCATTTCACATTTCATCAGACAAAAGTTACCTTTACCTTATTTTAACTTATTAGGTTGCATTGCTCTGGCATTTTCTGCTTTCTTTGGAGGAATGCATTGTGTATGAGATGCATTATTAACACTTGATTATTAGTGTGTTTTTTTAGGGGATGTGGCAAATTGAATAGAGAACAAATGTTACTCTCCACTAGTAGCAGCATTGTCCTTCAGATGGTCCCTGTGAGCCTGGCTCACAACCTCTCTGACAATCAGAGAAGACATTCTCTTCCCTTCTCTTTTTCTTTGTATTTTTGTTTCCACTCTATCTCTCCCAGTCATTCACTCTTTTCCGTTCTTCCTTTTCTTTTACACAGCCACACTATTTCTGTCTCCACACTGTCCTCCCAATCCTGCCTGTCTTTTGCCATCTCCTGTCTTTTTCTTTCTGTCTCTCCGGCTAGAGGACACTCGCTGTAAGCATAGCAGCACACAAAGGCACACGCCGCACACCATCTTCTTGGCATTTAAAGGATGAGAATACAGCCAATTGTGTTGGAAATTGAACTCTCTAAAGCCTCCCATCCCACCGCAGCAGTTCATTGTGGGTGAGTTCAGTGTCTTTGGTGAGCGGCTTGAGCTGTCCAGAGGTTGATGCCAGAGGGCGCCTATTGTTCCATGTTCCACTGCAGTGTCCCCTCCACTCCGCCTCCATTCAACCTTCCCTTCTTCTCCTGACATTCATCTCATGACAGAAAGGGGGGGGGGGGGGGGGG